CAACGTATTAAAAGCTTATCAAAGTTTTTAAAAAGGTCTAAAAAGGTCCTACAATAACATTAGAAGATTATTTATTTATAGTATTAAGTGCGATAAGGTTTAACCTAACTGAACTAATAAAGGCTTAGCTAATGTTAGGACTAAGACAAGTGGACTTATAGATTTCAGTGTCTGCGATTACAATTATTTTGTATTACTCTAGAAATCCTGTATTTGAAGAAGTACTGTTGCAATAAAGACACTAATTTGACCACAAACATTTCATGCTAGTTCATTTATAAGTTATGCTTGAATGTTTTTTGTTTTCTTTTTTTCTTTTGAGATTTTTTCGAAAGGTTGTATACCACTATATCATTCAATTACTTTTAGATTAGCCACAAAAGTGAAGAAGGGCGTTTCCTCGAATCGTTATTATCAAATATTTTTCCGTGTTCCGCGGTTTAATTCTATTTTTATGTTTGCAATATTAATGTAACACAGTTTGATTCAGACGAATTGTCAAATCAATAAGAGGTTCCGAGAGAACGAACGTCACAACTGATCAATATTTCTACAGAAGAAACCAGTAACTCCCTTTTGTACCAATGGAAATATTTTGTATAACTCTTAAACAAATATTTTCTAAAGAAGAATTCCATATATTCCAAGTATATAGACTTCCTGCATAGAAAGGAAATGGATAATGTCCTACGTATATTAAAACTGAGAACATAATTTAAAGCCAACGAGAAAAACATATTTTCGAGACTTCGGATAGAGAACTTCTCTGACAAAATATTAAAGTAATTGCGATACCTTCCATAACACCGTATTGTACTTTTATGTACGTTAAGGGAAATAATGTGTTCCTGTGGCACTGAACTGACAATATCATAATTACATTTTATAATTTTGTTTGATCTTCATCTGAACAATTTTAAAAGTTACGTTATGGATTCTTGGCGCTTCGCTGTCAGAATAGGAGTGACCTTAGACAGGATCTCGTTATTTCCTGTAAAACTCAAAGCACGTGATTATCTAGTTTCCTGCAGGACTTCCGTATGGACAGGGAATTGTATTTGGTTGAATATGCAAAAGTGCAATAAGTTTAGTCGTTTCAATTATTTAATCTGGCAGGAAAAATCAGATATTCTCTTCGTGCATAATTCGGTATTCTGTCAAACAAAGCACCATGTTAATTTGTTAAGCTGTGAAAAAAAGAGAGTAATTGTTCCTGTACATGTCCTAATTCTAAATGTATTGAAATCCACTTTCATGATTAAACGCTAATTTCATAATTTGTTGTTGAGCTTTGAGATTGAGGTTTAATATTTTCTTTAGAATTGAACCAAAACGTTATTTGTATGATTAAACTATTGTTAGTTAAATACGTTATGTGTATATCATATTACAGATTTAATAGAGTTTTGTTTTTAACATTAAACATAATGTTCGAGTTTCCTCGATTAATTTGTGATTTAAGTTATTATGATATCTCTATACTTACTATGGTTGAACAATTTTTTGCTAAAACACCAGTGTCAATTAAGTCCAAATTGAAGAAAATCTGTTTGAATCATTAGAAGCATAGAAGCATAGAAAGATAGAAAAATTTGCTGTTTTTAAGTCAATTTACAGAAAATATGCAAATAAATACACTTATTGAATCTAAAAGTTACTTAAAACATCATAAAAGCAACAAACAAGATATCTACTCGGCCAGTACTGGTTATTTCAAAGATATACAATGTATTATCGGGGTGTTAGAATGCCTTAACGATAAATTTAAGTATTGAGCGAAAAACCTCTTCGTCAGTGGCATAAAACTGACAAGATAATGTTGAAATGCTATCAAATATTCTTCCTGCTGTAAACTCTAATTGGGCCAGAATTGAATGATGTGATTGAAATCATTATCACTCTTATATATATATATACATATGTATTATCACGTACATATTATTATTAACGGTACAACCTATTCCCGATATTGATTTTCGTAAATTTCTTTTCTATTAATACTCAGAATTTAACATTTTGAATCAATTTCGACAGTCAAATAATATCAATGGAAATGAATCTTTGTTTATATAATTAAAATAAGTGCTTAAATGTTTTTGTCAGTCTATTGTAAATTAATTTCCTAATCGCTTTATAGCCGTTATTATTGTTTTACCACAAGTCCACACAACAGGCCATCTGCGCTCTGTTCTCCGAGGGGAATCGAAAACCGGATTTTAGCGTTTTAAGTCCATACACTTTCCGCTGACCCATCGAGAACACCGATTTATAGCTTAAAATATATTCAATATAAACATTATGTGTAACTATTAACAAGAAAATGCACTATTTTACAACGACAAATCCCTTAAATAAATCCCCCCTCCAGTGGCACAGCGATATGTCTGCATACTTACAACACTAGAAACCGGGTTTAGATACTCGTGGTTGGCAGATAGCCCATTGTGTAGCTTTGTGCTAAACTACAGACAAACAAACTTAAACATATCCCTGGTGGAACTTTTGAATATAATATGGTCCATTTGTAAACAAAGTTATCATCTAAACACTGGAACATAAACTATAGTAAGGTTGCAATATTTATTCAACAGTTTCGTTTTTTTATAAGCTAAAAATTGGGTTTCGATACCTGTAATGGGAATAGCACAGGTAGCCCATTGTGTAGCATTGCGTTGGACAACAGACAAATAAACTGATTTAGGGTTAGGAGTAGAGATTTGTCAGTTCATCAGTAGGGTTGGGGTAAGTTTAGAGCTTACAACACTACAATCCGGTGTTCGATTCCCTGCTGTGATTACAACAGACAGCCCAATATGGTTTTGCTCTACAAAAAACAACAAATAAGCTTGTTTTTTAAAGTGAGTATATGTTACAAAAATATCTACATTATCAGAATAAATAAACTTTTATTAAATATGATAGGAACGTCCGTGTTGAAAGCTATGACAAACTTTAAAATCATCTGCCATATCTAGTGTAGTGTAAGAACAATAAAAAATTAAACTAAGTGGAATTTTCGAATGCTATTTCCTAACCATTTGGCTTGTGGGATGTATACTCAGGTGAACTGAATTACTCGAGAGTATAAGAATAGTTCCACTAATAACAAGATATTCGACAAGATATGGTTTTTATGGGGCAGTGCTGAATGTATAATGACCAAGCTTAAGTGTAATATACTTAGAATATATTTTGTATTAAACCCTTGAAAGACAAAAACACAATATCTGTATTTGTTACTTACGACAGACGTCGATTTTACACCAAGTCGCCCCCAAGTGGCACAGCGGTATGTCTGCGGACTTACAATGCTAGAAACTGGGTTTCAATACCTATGGTGGGCAGAGCGCAGATAGACCGTTGTATAGCTTTGTGCTTAACTGCAAACAAACAAACTACACCAAGTCAGGACCAATGTTCCCATCTTCAGCTTTTCTTCTTTCGAGATGAATCTCTGCAGAACCAGTCACGACGAAAGCTAACTAAAACTGTCTAGAAAAGAAGTTTTCACCTTAAAAGAAGCCACAGTTTCTTTGTCTTGAGTTGAGTCGTCCTCTCACAACATTCGTCGAGTAGGACTTAAAGACATCGCCCAATGGACCATGGAAAGGATGCTGCAATATCTTAGCAGGATGAAATGGATATACTTGATATGACAGAAAGAACACGAAACCCATAAAAAAAGCTAATTCTGAGAAGGCTTAAAGGTTTTCTGGACTATGTAGCTTATGCAAAACGGGCACATATTCATAACTAATAACAAATAAAGAATATATATATTAATTATACAAGAAGGATAAACGTCCGATACTTTCCTATACCGCAATGATATTGAAGTAAATGGCTATTGCCAAAAGACATTATTAAGAAAACTCTCGTTGCCAACTTCTATACAGATTCATCTTGTGGAAGAGTTCAATATAAAGTCCGAAAACGTTGTCCGTTTTATGAATCACGAACAAAGGCAATTATGCACAATATCTGCAGGGTCTAAAACTACAATAACATAAAAGCTCTCATTGGATCAGCTGTACCTCTTAAGAGCATATAAATATAAAAACTGGGTTACTTTGTATACAACGAGGTCTAAGTTTTATCCCATATTCTCCACGGAAATAACTTTAAGCTAAACATATTTTTTTCCAATAGTTCTATAAGCATGCTATGATCGCCGTTTGTTTCATTCAATAAAAACTTTTCTGCCTGATAAGTCGAATAACTTTTTAAAATCTAGCAAAATTAACGTACAAATAAATCAAGGCCGAAAACCCAGTTTCGGATTTTTCAAAACAATCTTTTCTGGTCTGTTAAATCGTGTGAACGACTAGCTGGAGACTCCAAAAAGCTATATATATATATATTTAATTAACCAGAACATAGTTTAAACAACAGTTTCTGAGCGCCCCATGTTGTCTCTTCGGGGATTGTGAAATTTAAAACCTAAATTACTGTTATGTTAGTTTAGTTTTATAGGGCAAACGTAGTCATGGTGTGACTAGCTCAAGTTCCCATCTTAAAACACGTTCACTGTGACCTACAGATCTAGTGAAAGGTTTAGGAAAACTGAACAGTTTTGTGCAAAAATAATTAATGATCTTATATTTCCATCTAGCAGTCTCAATTATTTCTAATGTTCATTATCAGCTTTTATATACATTTCAATTTTCCCAGAGTCATTCAACATATTGTATACGTTCCATCATCGATAATTTTCATAAACATTGAACTATAAGTTATGTTCAAGATGAAATATATCTTGGTAAAACTCATAATTTGAATGTTTGAAGCTTCTTGCGCATAACGTCTCCGTCAGGAAACAAACAGCTCACCTCTTCTTTTAATGTTTGAATTTCATGATAACTAGCCTCTCTTTTCTAAGAACGCCCCTCTAGCTATAGATACTGCATGATGTTTAAACATCCGGTTCTAGTAAAGGAAATATTGTAGCTTCCGTTATAGAAGAGGAAATAGTTAGTGTTAAATAAGCATTGACTTATTATGTGCATTGCTGTTTGATATCTCGAGTGTTTAGTTCATATCAATTACAATGATCGTCCTGTCATTTTTGCTCTGTATAATTGTTTATAGTATTTTCAGTGTTCAAACCAGCCAAGCAGACAATACTACTGATGCCTGTAAGTAAAGAAATAAATCTGTTTTTCTCACGTTCATTAGCTTATAATACTATGGTATTGGAGCTGTTGCAAATAGGTTGTTGTTTCGTTGGTTTAGAGCAAAGACACTAGGGCTATCTGCTGAGTCCACCGCGAGGAATCGAACCCTGGAATTTAGAGTTGTAAGTTCGTGGACTGTTGTAATGATTCCAGGATACTAAGTATGTCATAAGCAGAAGTTTATCGCGCTTAATACCTATACTTGTAACCAATAGCTGTACATACAAATACTAGCCAACGAATGTAATTCCCCATTAGGTGTGGTGTATGTCTAATACGTTTCCTTGCACCTAAATACTGAACAGCGAACGTTCATACTCCATTAGATATATTGTATGTCTCACCTATATGCCAGAAACCAAATATTGAACTGTGAATGATTTGGTCACGCAAAAAAAACTAAGGACCAGCTTCACCCTGTAACGGTTGATAACCGTTGTGTGTAAAAGGTATATTTAAAATAGGATTACTAAACTTCAGGAAGTCTCGGTTGAAGAAATTCAGGTATTAAAATGTGATTAACTGCACGATCTTAATCGTCATATACTTAGATTCTGAGGAACGAGGATATGAGCTGTACTAGGCGTCCTATTTAGCACGTGTTATTTGTGTACGTTTACAGACACTTTAGTATTCTGAATGATTTTTAAATATATTGTAGCATTTAAATGCTTAATACATAGAATTTTTATATTCCATGATTTTATTTACTTTTGCAATAATTTTAGACATAAAACTATTGACAATGTAATCACGATCAACTTTCGGTCAGAATAATAGAAACGTCCATTTTTAATGTATAGAAGTAACAGGACATTAAATAAGAAAAGAAAAATTATAATGTTAAGTAAGATTCTCGTTGCTAATTTTTATACAGGTTTAGTTTAGCTTCATTTAAATCAATTGCTGGTACAAAACTGTTATTACGGGTCTCGTGTAAGAGCCAAAAGTCCAAAAATAACATTACTATGAACAAGTTAACTACGTCACATTGACACAGGACATGTAGTTATGATGTTCAACTATAAAATAAAAATTCAAGTCATTAAGAGTGACAATAAAAGTTAGTATTTATATATTTTATGAACGTAGTAGTCATTAATATATAAGAATTGAATGAAAATTAACGACACATTAAATAATCTATTTTGACAATAAAATGGAGTTTCTACTCCTCAAAATTCTTGAGGTAAAATTGTTTTACATAAGCGTTCATAAACAAAAAGAGTATGTTTTCGTTTTATTCGCCAGCAACAACACTGAGCCCGCTTTTTCTTCTCATCACTTGGATGTTTAAGATGTTATGTAAATCCCACTAATTATGAGACTATAAACATTAATGACTTATAACGAATTAGGAACCTTTCTACACAGAGACGTACGAAACAAATTGTTTTTCTTTTTGTTTGCGATTTCAGTTTCTTACGTATATATGTAGACTACACATGCATTATATATATATATATATATTGACATACATATGCGTGTTTCTGTTTATGTATGTATATTGAAGTTACACGTAATTGGAACAAAGTAGACACAGCTCGATATCAACCATGTTAGTAATCTCGATTTCAGTCTCATATATGAATATAGAGAGACATACACTCGTATTATATATGTTTATATATATACGTATATACATATACTGACATACAGTGGTGTTATATATGTGTATAGTTCTGTTTATATATGTATATAGGAATTACACGTAATTGGAACAAAGTACACCCAGTTCGATATCAACCACGTTAAGAATTTCTAAATTTACGGTTTTCATATCTATAGAAATTGGGCCGGATAACGTTTTTTTTTTCTTTTTTTGCTTCCTTAGAACGAACTGCCTGAATTCGACATACTAAATTATCACGTACTGCTATTATTGTATCTAATGCGACATAAGAATACGCTGAAATTTGTTCCTCAGAGATTAAAACTTACTCTACCCAAGTGTAAGTGCGTTCTATCCTTCTTTTTAGCTGTCTTTTTTTTTAACTTCTGCTATAATGTATCACACTTTTGGCACAATTTATATCACTCTTAATTATAGAGTATCAAATGGCATTTAGGAACTTTTCATTGTTATAGCACTGTATAATGCATGATGTACAAAATAGCACTTCACTTTTACAGTGCTCTAAGTTACAAGGTATAAAACGTTCAAACTTCCTTCACTGTTGAGCCCGGCATGGCCAGGTGGTTAGGGCGCGGGTTCGAATCCCCGTCACACCAAATATGTTCGCCCTTTCAGCTGTGGGGGCGTTATAATGTGACGGTTGGTAAAAGAGTAGCCCAAGAGTTGGCGGTGGATGGTGATGAATAGCTACCTTCACTCCAGTCTTATACTATTAAATTAGGGACGGCTAGCGCAGATAGCCCTCGTGTAGCTTTCCGCGAAATTCAACACACACACACAAACAAACCTTCACTGTTATAACGGTTTACAGTACAGGAGATAAAAACGTCACTCGAAACCTCTTCGGCGTTGTAACATTCCACAGTACAGGATATCATAATATCACTCGTATAACATTATAACATTCCACAGTTAGCCATTGTAACATTCCACAGTAGAGGATGTCATAATATCACTCGTAATCTGTTAGCCATTGCAACATTCCACAGTACAGGATATCATAATATCACTCATATTCTCTTCGCCATTGTAACACTCCACAATACAGGATGTCATGTTATCACTCGTAATCTTTTCGCCATCGTAACAGAAACCTCTTCAATGTTATAGTGCTCTACATTACAACGTATAAAACACTTAAATCCTCATCACTGTTACAGTACTTTACAGGGTAGATGCAGAAATGTCACTCAAAATATAGTTTCTGTTAATCTCAAAACAACAACAACAACATGTGTTAAAAAACACACAAATTTGTGTTCTGTGGAATATAATTTTAGTGTTTATACAAAGTTCAAGTTAAAAACAACAAAATCATTGTGGGTTAACAGAAAAACAAAGTAGTTGGTAGATGCACAATATTTGTGTTTAATTTCATAAAATCTACAAAACTTCACAACACAACATATTCAAGTAAACACAATTGTGAATTGGAAACCTCACGTCATTTGTGTTACAAGAAAATACTTAAAACTCGTCTCTTTGTATCGTTGCAACAATAATTTCTTTTATAAATATTAATTTCTTATCACAACAAATTAACTACATAGATCAGAACGAAAAATAAAACTGATCCAATACTGAATATTGATAATTCAATTTACTGTTCTTACAATGATTACAATGCATTGTTTCATCACTTGGCACTCTCGCTCCAATACTGCATCTCCAGAGATGTGGACAGCTTAATAGGTTTAGGTTAGTCCTGAATCTATATACTAAACTGAAAATATAAAATAATCCATCTATTTTTTGTTTTGTTCGTTGTTTGGTTATTTTTTTAGTTATAACCCACAGTTTTACTCTGAGCCACCAGGAGGCTTCTTATAATAATAGTAATAAAGTAGAATGAAAAACATGTATATAATATATTAAACATTTTAATGTTTATGAAAATAAAAAAGTACATGAGTATAAAATATACATATATCAAAAATGTTAATCCTCTAATTAATAATCCAATTAAGTGTGTAACACAACCTGAAGACGAGAAGCGGAAGACTTTCGAAACGTTGTCCTCTTCACTCGTGTCTCTACAACAGGCAGTTGCTGCCCATTCTACAAAGTATCACAACTAATCCGACTCTTACTAACCTCTGTCTTTTACATCATACGTGGAGCGGGCATACGGAATTAATATAATTTTTAACCCTAAGAATAGACTATAGTTCACACAAATCTGTGTTTAATTTGTGTTGTTGTGAAATAACACAATAGTTATGTTAACTCGCAACATAATGTTTTTATTGTGCATAACACTACGATATAGTGTGTAAAACGACAATCAAATTTTCTATGTTGTTTCAGCACTCTAGAATATGCGATTCAAGAAGTAACTCAAAGTCTTCTCATTTTATAGCGCGCTTATTCCAGGATGTTGAATGTTGTTCGAAGCCTCTCCACGGTTATAGCACTTGACAATACAGGGTGTAAAATGTCACTCAAAACTTATTTACTATTATAACACCTTGTACTATAGGGTATAAAGCGATATTCGAAGCCTCTCCACGGTTATAGCACTTGACAATACAGGGTGTAAAATGTCACTCAAAACTTATTTACTATTATAACACCTTGTACTATAGGGTATAAAGCGATATTCGAAACTACTCCATTGTTATAGCACCGTACTGTACATGATGTAAAATGTCGCTCGAAACTTATTTGTATTGTAGCACTCTCTCTCTGTAGTATAAGGTATAAAACGTCATTCGAAACTTCTCCATTGTTACAGCACTGTACAGCATAAGGTGTAAAATATCACATGAATCTTATTTGTATTATAGCACTCTCTCTGTAGTATACTGTATAAAGCGACATTTGATAATTTCTCAGTTGTTATTGCACTTTACACTACAGGATGCAAAGTGTCACTTGAGTACTTTATTATTGTACAGCTATTTGTACTTCTATTTGTATTATAGCACTCTCTCTGTAATATAGGGTATAAAGCGACATTTGAAAGTTCACAATTGTTACAGCACTGTACAGCATAAGGTGTGTAAAATATCACATGAATCTTATTTCTATTTGTATTATAGCACTCTCTCTGTAATATAGGGTATAAAGCGACATTTGAAAGTTCACAATTGTTACAGCACTGTATAGCATAAGGTGTGTAAAATATCACATGAATTTTATTTCTATTTGTATTATAGCACTCTCTGTGTAGTATAGGGTATAAAGCGACATTTGATAACTTCTCAATTATTATTGCATTCTACACTACAGGATGCAAAGTGTCACGTGAGTACTTTATTATTGTATAACTCCACTACACAAAACTGATAAAAGAAAGTATTACAAGACATAATGAAATAGATGAGATGTAGATGAACCCTATTATTTTTTAACTGTTTTCCTATTGTGTTTTGTGACTTTTGTACACCTGCGTAGTATATTACTTCTCAATATATTTCTGATGAAGATAAACGTTTTAAAAACATCGTTTGATTCTATTTATTTTAGCTGTTCTTTGTCCTGATGCAAGCTGGGACTGGATCTTGCACAATGGGTTTTGCTTCTATTTGGAAACAAATGTTTATACTTGGCATGATGCTGAACGTATCTGTTCAGAACATGGTAGTCATTTGGCATCCATTCATTCTATGGAAGAGCAAAGGTTCATATTTCATTTGGTGAGTACAAGACAATTTTTATTTGAATATATAGTAATATTACTGATTTATCTTAGCATAAAAAATGCATTATATCTATACCTACTGAGCTGCAGAAATCACACAATTACATAATGCCTAGTTCTGGTGTTAAAACCGATTTAACAAGTTGGTTATTTGGGTGTCACTAAAAACTAACAGCCGGGTCTTCCAAATACCGTTTACAGTATGAATTGATATATTTATATGACTTTCGTCATAAGAAGAAAAGACTAATGATGTAAGATATTTAAAAAATAGAAACGCATATATGAGCTTCATAATAATCTAAATTAGGTTTCCATCATATTGCAAACTTATTCTGGTACCTGATGATGACAAAACCTTGTCGAAACGTTGTACATTTGCTTTTATGTTAAACTTATATTAAAGTTTTTCTTCATTACCTATTCAAGCCGTCTCCAAGCATTATTAGTCTCAAGATGGGTTCCTCGTCATCGAATTTGAATGCAAACTTATTCGTTAAGAATTCATGTTTCAATTCAATTCAACAGTTCATTTAACTACGTTTAGGTTAGTCACCAAAATATATGAAAAGTGACTTAGCATAACAAATGAATCTTCTGAGATGAGCAAACAAGAGCCTCTTTTTTTTGCAGTTTACTTTCATTTAAACGTTACACTTTCTTCAGCAGTTTTAAATAATGAAGTATAAGAGGTCTGTTGATTACTCTGGAATACCAAAACCAATGAAGTGAAAATCTGATTGTTTTTGATTCAGATTTTTGTGGGAGCTAGTTGATGCCTCGAAACTTATTTAAGCCAATTGCATCATATAGATGTTGATACTGTCTTTTAAAATTCTTGATGGGTTTTCTTACTTGCGAAGTTTTTAGATAGTTTTTCATATCCTACGTATGCGATTATTTCACTCGATTTCACATTCTTGGGTCTTTCGTGGTGGTCTTTGAATTTAAAAACAGAATTCTTCTGTGGATATATATTTTAAGTGGTGATCTCTCTGCTTCTTTGTGTTTGTTCTTAAGTAGTGAAAATAAATATGAAGTCAGATATAACCCGTATCCATGCTAAAGTGATGCATTTTACCAGCACGGTGCTTGAGAAAATACACAAAATGAATTCCAAAACTCATAAGTTTATTGGGATGGCTTAAAACTCCTGTTGAGTACTCTGGAATAACAAAACCAATGAAGTGAAACTCTGTTTGTTTTCGATTCAGATTTTTGTAGGAAGTTATGTTAATTATGGTATATTTTGAATATCTTTATTGCTCCTGCAACTTGTGTCCGTTTTTTTAGTAGCGACTTAAACAGATGTCGATCGTGATATTTGAAAATTTCCTGTTCTTGAATAACAACACCTGTTTGATGTCTCGTTTTTTATTTTTCAATAAGTTTTATGAAATACAGTTAGAAGAAAATCGTTTTATTTGATAGATTAGGTAAAAACCTTGGAAAAGGAGAATAATTAGATTTCTACAAAGTTTAATCAAATCAAAACAGTTTGAAAATAATCAAATATGATCAAGTGAAAATAGTTTGTTTGTTACTAGAATTTGTTTGTTTGTAATTAAGCACAAAGCTACACAATGGGCTATCTGTGCTCTGCCCACCACGGGTATCGAAACCCGAATTCTAGTGTTGTAAGTCCGCAGACATACCGCTGTGCCATTAGGGGGGCTACTAGAATTTATGAATTATTCTTGAAACGGAATTTATTATATGCTAGTTAATACTAAGGAAGTGTTAACTACTGACATTTAAACTTTAAGTCAAGATGAAATATTACCATGATAAGGTTAATGGTGTAGCATTTCCATAAAATTGTACCATGTTTAATTTTTATTTACATTGAGCTTTTGCAGGTCAGATTATGCTTTTAGTCATATATTGTCTATAGATAAAACATTAATACTGAAAAGTTTCAAATATACGAACGATATAATTATAAAATATTCATAAAATTATTAAAAGTTAACTATTCGAACAAAAACTAAACAGTAACTTATAAAATAATTAAGCCAAGTTGATAAATTTATGCATAACAATACAGCTTGTAGTAATTAGAATGTATTGAATCAGTTGGCTAGGCTCTGTGTTAGTCCACTGGTGAGGCAGTGGTAAAACTACAGAATTACACCACTAAAATCCTACATTCGATTCCCCGCGACAGGCATAGCAAATAATATAATATTTGAGAAATAGCCCAGAAATGTTCTGATATTTATTTGCAACTTTTGTTGAAATGTTTTTAAAATCAAATGTTCTGACGTATGATTTAAAGTACTTAGATATACATTTTTGGTCGAATCTCATGAAATATTATGGAAGTTACGCCAAATAAAGATCTTTAGCTAGAAGGTTTGTTTGTTGTAGAGCAAAATCACAGTGGGAACACAACAGCAAAAATCGTCATTTATTAGAAGCTTTGAAAATTATTTCATCATAACGTACCACAATGAACATAATAGCACCACTCAGTTTTCACTTGTCATTGCCCTGTGGTGATTGTGAAGGCTTATAACACTAAAAACCTGATTTCATTACCCATGGTGCAGAGCCTAGATAGTCCATTGTGTAGCTTTGTGCTCAACAGCAAACAAGTAAATCACTTGTTAGTCAACATTTGTAAAAATTCATACATAAACGTATTTGTACAGCACATAAAATTCAAAATAAATAGCACATAAACAGCTTTTCAAATTGATGTGTGCGACAACAGAAGAATGGTTGGAAATATGCATGGTAACAGTACACATTGTTGCACGATGAAGGCTCCTGTAAGAGGGCCGAAAGCTCGCAAATAAAAGTATTTGAACATAGAGAAAAGTCCGTTATAAATTGTACATGATCGCATTCAGGTGACTGTTAATTTTAGATGATTACAGTTTATGCCCATATGGCTCCACTTTGGTGTAATTCAAAACTGGGGTTTGCTAAATCTCCAACACCCTACTTATCTGAGTTACACCTTCAATGAACTTATAGAGAATATTCAAGAAGTATAACAATAATCACAGATAACCATGTATAGTCTGGCTACAGTTTTATGGTAACCTTTATGCTTGTTGTCATGAGGGAAACTTTAGATATAGACTGAATGTCTTCTGTCAGGATTGAACAGACACATTTTGGAAAGAGGATGTGATAAAAACATTATTATGATAAAAGAAATAATCGTAAATATGCTAGTCAAAACATTTCTGTCTACTATACTAATCAGCTGTGTTAAACTTGAAAGCATTGTGTCTGGAGCTGAATGTATCTCACGTTGTCAGTGCTAATATTGGAATGATTTCTACAAATTAATTTAAAGTTATAACCTTTCATAAAATTCTGCTACCACGGACCAGATATTTAAGTTTTAGTAAACCTAAGATGGCGAGTGTACCAAAAACATCATCAGTTTTCAAATACTGAAGATATTTCTGATGCAAATTGATCACTGTGTGAACAGAAAACTGAAGAAAACAAGTATTCCTGGCTTCAAGAGCAGTCTTTACAGACTATACTCCATTCTCTGGAGAAGTTCAAGAGCCGAACATCAATACTAGTCTGTACAAGCTACATTTCATTCTCTAACATCCATGAAACTCACTTACCTGAAACGTACACGTTTTTTTGGAATTAACTTCCATAATGCCTTGTCACAAGCCTATGAGTACCACTACTGCCATTGGTTATTATAAAAACAAAAACTTAACATACTATGTGCCCTTTTAACTAGGTAAATTTCTAACCATGAGAAGCGTATAATGTGAATTTCTCTTAAGTACATTTTCTTAGTTACTCTTTCCTTTATCTTATGCTCTGACTATGTTTAGTGTTATTTTATTTTGATCCTTTCCACTCCAATATTAAATAGTTGTCTTTTTCATGCTTCAATTCATTAAGGTTGATATTAGCTTTCTCTGTAATAGTCCTTGAGTTAATGTACTGAATGGTATCCTGTATATACGAGTCTTGATACTTGAACTCCTGGATTTCTCCAGATAATTGCCCGTAATCTGTAAAGACTTGTCTGGATGTTCATATTATTGGACTTTTACAGAGAATGAACTATAGCCTGTACAGAATGGTCTTGATGTTTGAACTTCTGGATTTCTTCTGATAATTACCTGTAGCCAGTACAGATATTCGTGATGCTTGGACCCCTGAATTCCTACAGAGAATAAACTGTAATCTGTACAGAATGGTCTTGATGTTTGGATTACTGGATTTCTCTAAGCAATTTATCTAATCACAACTAAATTATTTCCTAATGGTCTCTACATTAAAATATGTATATGTATAATTTAACTAATGAATTCTAATATCGATGTAACAGTCGTTCTCAACAGGTTCTGCTTCGTCTGTTACGAGTGGGTTGTCATGCAATATCCTCTTTGAACTATATTTTGTGCTTCTGCATCACAGTATTTTTCAATGAACATTCGTCTCTCTTGATCCTGGAACAACCACATGTCATTCTTAGAACCAAGTACTGAGTGATTAGTTAACTAATGAATTCCAATATTAATGGGCATTACCCTTTTCTGTTAAAATGATGAATATGGATTATCTATCTGATTTTCTCCCAGTGCATCAGCAGTAAGTTTACGGATTTACAATGCTAAAATTCCGGGTTCGATTCCACTTGGTAGACAGAACACCAATAGCCTATTTTGTAGCTTTGCACTGAAACAAACAAGCAAGCACGGTAGTATGTAGGGATGGGCCGAGAAATTAATGGTCGCCACATTCAATCTATTACCCTATGATGCTTACAAATAACTGCTAAAGTTGAGTTATAGCCTTACTTGAGCAGCTAATTGCCAATTATCGAGTGTTTCACAGCTTGCATAACAGTAATATTAGTCTGTTCTTCTACCACACATATTTTAGTGGGGAACAAAAAGAAAAGAAAACTACTACTTAGCAGTGAGTTCAGTTAATAATCATATATTATTTTAATGTTTCATAAATAACAGTTTAATTTCTGGTCGTTCCTATATAGAATTA